GGTTGTTTGAATACGTTTGGACATGAAGAATCAAGATCTGAGCTATTCCTTCCTTCTCCCTTTCCTGCCATGTGTTGTTGCCAGCCTGTCCTGGAGTTGCTTCAGGAGCAATATATGTTTCTAAACTGTGTCGCTTTTCATTTTACTTTCCTTCACTTAAAATGTTTAGAGACTCATTATAATGACTGGTGCTTTTATTTTGTGTTGCAATTCAAGTATTCACAACCACAGTGGGAAATTATGGGAGGATGGAAGGGGGAAAGTGCGCTGACATTTTGAATCAATGTGTCCTAGAGATGCTATGCACAGAGGCTAGAATAATGTTATATCCCAGGAACATGCACACCAGACTATTCACAGAAAGAGATAAAAAAAGGAAAGGTCTACCAGAAGAGCTTTGTAATACAAACATCCATGCTAGTCCCTTTAATAGTCAAAGGGGACCTCTTCTTCCTTTTTCCATCAATGGAAAGGCTGGTTGGAGCCAATCCTTTGTCATCTTACCTGTGGAAACTTGTAAATGCCTAAGAAAGTGGCCATGTGAAGAGAGGTTTCAGAGTCCAAGCCTCCAATGACAGCTATTAGGTTCTTCCAGGCGCCACAGTTGTAGTTGGGGATAGTCCTATTCTGACTAAAGAGAAGGTTTAAGGTATTTCGAAAAGCCATCCTTGCGTCAAAGTAGCTGTCATAGATGTGGAACCCCAGTGTTATGTTTGGCAAGATGTGGTGATTCTTGTTGATCACTTTTAAGGCAAAGACCAAGGACAAGACATGCTGGTAATTCTTGAGTACTGCACTGAAGTAAGAAACACACAATGTGTAAGACTGATATTCACACACACACATAACTATGGTTTCAAAATTGGAAAAAAATTCAAAACAATAAATAAATTTATCCTGGAAACTTGGGCATGTGACTTCTGTGCCCTTTTAGTTCAGTAAATTTCCCCACTATCATTTAATGTTCCGGAAACTTATTTTTCTTTTAAAATCAGTCCTGTTCATGTAATATAATCACATGAAAACAGACGGCCATTATCACTCCCTTTTTCTTTTCTAGGCTGCGGTCACACGAAGCATTAGCCACGCTACAGAGACGGAAAATAGGTGGATTTTCCAGGCGTGATCACACCACCACATCTGGGAAGCGTAGAGCTCCCGTGGCTCACCCGAGGCTTCCCGCCGAAGATGCAGGATAAAAAGGAAACCATGGGGCAAGGGCGGGCATCTGATCGTGCTTCCGGTGGCATCCAGCACCCACCCATGTCCCCTCGCAAAAAGGTGTTTTTTCCCCAAGTCTCCACGGGATGCACACAAGCACCCAATGGAGCATGCGCAAACTTCAGTTTAAAGAAAAAAACACAACCCCGTTTGCCGCGCCGCCCCACTTCTTTGCCTGTGGTGTGATTGGCACCTCCCCCCTAACCACAGGACCTCGATGGGACCTCAACCAGACGTCTGATCGCGCAGTCGCACGTTATTGGGCAAATAGCCACGCTCCCCCCACACACATTTTCCAGTCCGTGTGACCGGAGCCCTAGTTAATCAAATATTGTGAGGAAACTCAGGCTTGTAGAAACAGCAGGTGGAATTAATGAAAGAACCACAGCTGCCAACTAGAAGAGCAGAAAGGAAACAAAGCTGTATGTGATGCTATAATTGATTTTCCAACCTTACTTGACTAGTCTTGACACTTGAAGGAAGAAAACAGTTATGCAGTTATATTTGGTCCTCTGAAAAAGACATTGGAAACGAAAGGATTATCCAGAAACTTCATTAGAATAAGATTATTTTTGGACCTTCTTCAGTTTTTGTATTCTGTACTTTAAAGGTTGAACAAAAGGTTGAAGACACAGAAAATTAATCCTAAAACCCTACAGTTCTCTTTGAGCACCATATTCCACATATTCAAAGTGTTGTCTGAATAGAAGCCAAAGGTGTATGCACAATCCATAGCATCCATTTGTAGGGCCTAGATTATACTTCAAGATCTTATGTATATTCCCATGCATGCAGAAGGAAGGAAACAGTTATGCAGTTATATTTGGTCCTTCTCAGAAAAAGACGTTGGAAACGAAAGCATTATCCAGAAACTTCATTAGAGTAAGATTATTTTTGGACCTTCTTCAGTTCTTGTATTTTATACTTAGATAACTTTAATAAATTATGTATGTTGTTAAAGTATTGACAGATATGTTTGTGTAAATGCTGTGGGTATTATTATAGTAGAAAAAGCAATCAGATATTGGGTGGGATCCAGCCTGCTTTTCTGCTTGTGAAAATGGGAATAGGGGGATAGTACCCTTCAAAGGAAAGCTAACCCCTCAGAGCCTCAAAGGCAGGTAGTACTTTTCTATTGGTATGGGTCTCTATGGGAGTGAGCAATGGAAGTGAAAGAGCTGGTCCTCTGGGAGCAAGGTATCAGCTAAGCTCTCAGAAACACAAACAATGAGAAAAATTGGATACAAACTAAAGAAGATGAAGGAGAAAATCACACATCATTTGTCACTGAAGAGGTAATGAAATAAGCTTCTTTATGTTGGAATGCTTGTCTCATAATCCTGAACATATCCAATAACCTGATAACTTTCTAATTAAAAAAGCCTTTTGTTCAATATGTCATTGCCTTTATTATCTTTTTGTAATGGTTGTGCAATTGTCTCATTCATGCTAAGGATAAAAATAAACAGACAATTTTCATACAAAGGTTCATGAAAAAGATTTCCTTTGGGGGGCTCCTCAAAATGGATGCTGTCAGAAATGGGGAAGAACTGAGAAGTGATCCCACCAATGATGAGGTCTCCTGACTGAAAATACTGGTGTGGTGTCTGCAAGTCATCGCACATGGTACACATAGCGGGATGCATCTCAGACTTTTTTTGTGGCAGCAGCAGCCATGATATCAGAAGCTGTAGTGAAACGTTGAACCCTGTCATTGGGAATGCAAAAGCATTTTCCATTGAGATGAAATCCTTTCTGTGTGTGACCCTTTATCATCCAGCATCAGCCTCTTGAACATCCAGTCTTCAATGGCACCATCCCCTCCTGTGAAGGTGAATCAAGTACTGGTCTCTAAATCTGAAGACAGCACAAAGAAGGGGCAGATGATACAGTCCTGTCTTGCAAACAGTCCCTCACCCCTACTCTGAACAGTATGGGGATATTTTATGTAAGCGGAACATTATTTACTAAAATTCAGTCTGAGATCTCTGAAGAAGGAGGCTGAATCATAGTCATCAGAAATTATTGCTGGGTACATGAACACCTCCCGAAGGTATTGTGCTACATAGGACATCAGGTGCATCAGGAGAGGGGGGGGGGGTATATTGTATGAAGAAAGATGCTACCACACTGCATACTTTGATGTGGAAATCCAGTTTTCTGACAAAGGTTCTTCCTGTTCAGAAGGGAGCTATAGTATGTTGTCAAAGGCTTTCTGAAAAGTACTCAGAAACGTGGAGTGATTCAGCAAGAGTACTTTATTCAATCGGGAACAAGACAAAGTAAGCCGGCGCGCAGGCCGGTATATATGCACAGCAACCTACCACCAAAACACACCCCCTATTCACCCTATAGGTTATTTACCAAAGCCGAGAGTCCCATAGGCTCTCGGCTGCGGACCTGGCCCTTTGATTGGTGCGGGCTAGGATCCGCTTGGCTATTGTTCTAAATGTACGAAGCTTTGGGCTTGTACTTGACCGCATGGCCCAACGGTCGCGCACGTGGTAATGGCGGAGTACATTACACTTTCACAGCTGGAGTTCATTAGTTGTTGTAGATTTTCTGGGCTGTACGGCTTTAGTCTTGGCATTGTAGGACCTGACATTTCACCAGCAGCTGTGACTGGCATCCTCAGAAGTATAACACAGAAAGATGGAGTACTCTCTGTGTCACAGAGACAATGCCAAGACCACGGCCATAAAGCCTGGAAAATCTACAACAACTTTGTAGCGATAGTATTTTTTTTTCATTAGTTCATGAAGGTGCTAATAAAATATGATAGGAATATTGCTACGTTCATTCACTCCAGCTTTTGCATCTGTTCTATATTAATGTCATACAAATGGAATTCAAATGGCATGTACTGTATCAATGGCATCAAAATGTTTTTAGAATGTCATCTAAAAATTCTTGTAAAGATATATAAGGGAGAAAGCAGAAACAGCTCAACAAAACAAAACCAGGGGCAAATTTGAGACGATAATGCAACATCTTTCCTCTGGCCAGCTGCCATGATTTCTCCTAGCCCCAAAGTTCAATTTGAAGCCAGAATGATAATTTTAGGACATGAGTAATCAGGATCCTCCATTTCCCTGCCTTGATAGAATTAATACCGCCTTTAGGTAATAATTTCTGGTTTAACCTATTAATTTTAAAAGAATCCATGTGTGGCATGCAAAGTGAAGGTAGGAGTGTGAAATGAGAAACTGGCTTTCGATTGACTGTGGGAGTTGCAAAACCAAATGCAAAGGAAATCAGAGCTGCCCGGCCCAGATGCCGTCTTGCCTGAATTTTAAATCTGGAGCTGTTGTTTACTTCAATAGGCAGAACTGATTCCACACTAAAGCTATGAACTTCGAAACTGGCCACCAACTTCAGAATTACGGTGGGAGTCAGAGGGCCCCAAAAATGAAGAGGATAGAACCATCATGGTCCAAATTATTGCCAGAAGTCCACCAATGATATTTGCAATGGAAACCAACATTGTCTGCGGTAGGTATCACTTATAGAACTAGGAGCCTCAAAATTGGCCACTGGCATAAAAATGATCAAGGTCGTTGCACTGCTGAACACCAAGGGAATTGGAACATCCTGAAGCAAGCAATCACCAGAATGCCTCCCTTCATTTTTCATTGGAAGCTATGGCATGGATAACTCCTCTGAAAGTGAAGGTAGGAACCTCAGGATTGGACAGTAGATTTAGAATGATGGTGGGAGTTGCAGTACCCAAAAACAAGGGAATAGAAACATCATGGCTCATATTTTTTTTGTCAAATCCCACCAATGCTAGGTGCAAAGGAAGCCAACATATTCTCCACCAGCTTCGGGATGGTTGTGGGAAATGCAGTGATAAACACAAAGGGGATTGGAATGTCCTGGCCCACATAATCACCAGAAACTTCTCTTAATACCCTGTTTCTGTCACAATAATTATCGGCTTATTGCAACACCCAGTCTTGCATGGCTCTGGAGCCTGCTGCGGAAGTGATCTGAGACCAGCCCTCTAAATGCAAGAGTCTGACACAGCCCTACTTACTTACAGTCCAATACCCCCTCTTTGAGCGATAAAATGGGCATTTGATAATCATTTAATATCCATGTTGGGTTTTGGCAATGAGGATGCTGGGAGGGAAAATCATTTTTGGTTTATATAGATTTTAGCCTGGCCTTAATTTGAATAAAGTTTTCATTTCTTTTTGCCTATGGAGGTCAACATGTTCATAAAGAAAATAATCCCAACTTCAGCAACCCAGACATATACATAAAAAGCATACTGCCTTCAGAACCAGTGTGTGTAGCACTTAGATCATTGCACAAAGATCTGAGATAACAGGATCTTAATCAACATACTGGCCTAAAGCAACTGAGGCCCCGGTCACACGTGCTGGAAAATGTGGGGGGGAGAGACGTGGCTATTTGTGGCGCCGCAATTAGACGTGCGACAACGCGATCGGATGCATCGGCGGCAACCCACAGTTCCAGCCCTCGGCATGTGCACTGCAACAAAGACAGCCGAAGGGAAAAGCCGCGCCGGTGTGATCACTCTAAGGGAGTCCAGAGGCACCCCATGGCAAACCATTTGCTACTACCTTCGAGCAGGTATTTTTTATCACACATTTTCGGCGGCATGCCACGGGTTGGCCACGGGTGCGCTCCACTTTCCAGATGTTGTGGTGTGATCGTGCCCGGAATATCTGCCATCCAATCGTGGCTCTCCCGCGGCAAATTCGCCATGTGAATGGGGCCTGAGTGAACTTAGGCCAATCACTTACCCCCAGCTCAATGAAGGCAAGAATTGCTTTGCTTCTTCACCCTAAGTAAAGTCATGAGACATGGGTATGGGGTAAACTTGGATTTTATTATTGGGAATCAAAACTTACTCAGAAGCAAATTCCAGTAAACACCTTTAATGTGAGCCTTGAACATACATAGAATCACAGAATCAAAGAGTTGGAAGGGACCTCCAGGGTCATCTAGCCCAACCCTTGCACAATGCAGGAAATTCACAAATACCCACCCACACCCCCAGTGACTTCTGTTCCACGCCCAGAAGATGACCCAAAAAAAAAAAAACCCTCCAGGATCTCCAGCCAAACTGTTAAGGCTTGTTAGATTCTTAACTTATTTCCCCTTATTAGATGTTCTTTATTGTTTAATTCAGGCCTCAAGACAATTATATAACATTTGGGAGAAAATATACACCCCAGTAAACCAAGCCCAGAGGCCAAGATGGAGAAGATCTCTACAGCTATCATATATTTCCCTTTGGTACTTAAATACGTTGGAACAAAAGACACCCACACAATGCAAAACACCAGCATGCTGAAAGTGATAAACTTGGCTTCATTGAAGGAGTCAGGCAGCTTCCGAGCAAAGTAAGCTACAAAGAAGCTGGTAAGAGAGAGAAATCCCATGTAGCCCAGAATATAGTAAACTATGTTGGCAGATCCTTCATTGCATTCCACTATGATTTCTTCAGCCACAGAGTTCACGTCAACATCTGGGAATGGAGGGTCGTTGCAGAGGCAAACCAGACAAAGACACATTTGAACGAATGAACAACAAACAATAATTGAGCTTGCAAAGCTTTTCCCCATCCATTTCTTCATCTTTGATCCTGGTTTGGAGGCCATGAAAGCCAAAACCACAATGATGGTTTTTGCCAGCACAGAAGAAATGGCCACTGTGAAGATGACGCCAAAGGCAGTCTGGCGTAGAAGGCAGATGAGAAAGTGAGGCCAGCCAATGAACAGCAAGGTGCAGAGGAAGCAGAGCAGGAGGGAGAGGAGCAGAACATAGGAGAGTTCTCTGTTGTTGGCTTTGACAATGGGTGTGTTCCGATGCTTTATAAAGATTCCAAATACCAGAGCTGTAGTCAGAGAAAGAGACAGTGCGAAAACAGCCAAACTTATGCCCAGAGGTTCACCATAAGACAGGAAATGCAGACCCTTTGGAAGGCATCCATTTTGGTGTTTATTTGGATAAGCATCTTCCAGGCATTTAGCGCAGTCATTCATATCTTTAAAAGGGAAAAAAACACACCACTATTGTACTTTATGTCATAATTTGAGCTTGGCTGAGTGATACCTTAGTGCTTGATACCTTATCTCGCTTGATACTTCAGTATCTCCCATTTGTACATACAAGACATCATGCTAGTTTTGGGATGGCACACTCATCCTTCTACAGTGAACCCCACTAGTATATCCAGACTGGTGTTTCCACAAGTATAAAGATTTCCATGCATGAAAAGTGACTTTCTTGCCTCTGCCCTCCCTCAACAGCCTGAAATGTCCCCTTCCTGTTTCTGGGAGACAGGAAAAGAATGAGAGGCACCAGGGAACACAATCATTGGTAGGGCATTCAGGATTGGTTGGGGAGGAGGAAAGGAATGGATTCCCACAAGCAGAAATGCTATGCTGCACTATCCTGTATCCATCTTCCCAAGGAAATGCAAGGCTATATCTAACTTCTACCCAATCTATGATGTACATCTTTTGAGGACTCCTACCCTTCTGGTCTGAGATCTTCCCTGTTGGACATGGAGCACAATTATAGCAGCAGAATGGTTGTCCTTCCTTCTTTTTTCTACTGTAACCTGGATGGCAGTGGTCATTACACATAGCCAGGGGTGTGACCTATCAATCAAAAAAAGGAATTCATTTAATTTTGGGAACATTCCCAAAGGTCAGTAAATTGGAGTAAAAGGTTTCCTAAGGGTATAACAGGCCCCTGCCACACGGCAGGGAAAACACTGGCCAAATTGCGGCTTTTAAAAGCCGCACCAAAAAAGAGACGCCGCGGCGAATCCCACGATCCCCTGAGCCGCGGCGCCGTTGCTCCCCGGAACGATCAGATGCCGGGGAGGAAGAGACGATTGGGAGGGGGAGGCTGCCGAACTGCACATGCTTGAGCATATGCAGTACGGCCAGGGGCTGGGGATGCACCGGCGAAAAGACACACCGGCGATCCCACATCCCACAGCCGGCAGTGATGCGGCCTTTTGCTGCGGGGTTTGGCCGGGAGGGGTGGATTGGGAATGGGTGCAGCACAATTCCCAGATGTTGCTGTGGGATTGCGCCCGTTTGCTGTGGCTCCGATCCGTCCCTCTCCTGGCCCAAAACGTCTCGTGTGGACAGGACCACAGTTTTGCATTGAAGCTGTTGTAAGTAATGGTACTGTGTCAAAAAGGAAAGGGGCAGATATTATGCAAACATTTTTGGCAGAACAGCAATATACTCCTCTCCCCTCTTTCGATAACTTATGAGAATTGCTGTGAATGGATGATAAAGCAATTCTGAACAGGCTTTATTCTGAGCAATACTTAACAGTGCTTCCAGAATTCTGATCACTTTATTGTTTATTGTGTGTTTTATTGTATTTTAGATTCCGGCTTTGCCGCTTGTGAACCGCCCTGAGCCTTGGGGAGGGCGGTATAGAAATCTAATAAATAAATAAATAAATAAATAAATATTCTCAACAAGGCCCATGTGTGAATACTTAAATTTGGAGAGTGGAGCCATGAACAGGCAAGCTAAATTGTTCTGCAAACCTGAAAAAAAGTCCAAAGGTTTGCAGAAAAAAAATATGTACTCTCAAAAACAAGCAAACTGATGGGGAGTTAAAACCCTCCAAAATAATAGAAAGAGTGCCTGTAACTTTAAGAGATAAATGTCCTCAGAGGCCATGGTTTCTTATAGGAGCAGAGCTCTTCCCATGGCTGTTCTACCCTTTGAGGGAAGACTTATCAGGGCTAGGCCTGACAGTGACCACCAAGCAGCTTCCCACCATAACTTCCATGATTCACCCAGGCCCAGCTACTCACTACTGTTCAACAACAGCCACCATACAAAGCCAGTGTGGTGTAGTGGTGAGATTTTCACAGTAGGATCTGGGAGACCTAGGTCTAAACCCCTGCTATGCCACGGAGGCTTGCTGGGTGACCATGGGCCAGTCACACACTCTAAGCCTAACCTACCCCGCAGGGTTCTTAAGAGGATAAAATGGAGCAGAGGAGGATGATGTAAGGGGCAGAATAAGGTAGGTTGGTTGGTGGGTGGGAAGTAGAGAAAGGAGAAGAGACAGGTAAGGATATGGGGGCTACCAGGAGGACAAAAAGAGAAAATAATGGTGGGGGGGGATGGAGGGGAAGGCAAGGTGCCCCATTCAACTCATTTCAGGTTCCCTACTGTGCATCTGAGCTTGGCCTGGTGGCAGGCACCACAGAGACTTTCCTGGAAAAAGGGGACAGGCTGCCAGGCAAACAAAAGGAAGAAAATCTAAAGACAAGGAGTCAGATAAAAAGGTAGGTTGGCTGGTGGGTGGGTGGGGAGTAGAGAATGAAACAGGAGAAGGGGAGAGGCTATTTTGTGTCAGGAAATACTGGCCTATTTTTTTTCTGGCATCTCTTACTGAAGCACAAACAAGAAATTATTAATGACCTACCTGAGTCTCCCTCCTGCTTTGAACAGGATTTAAATCTGAGGATTTGGATGTCAAAATGATTATGATTTGGCATGCCACAGAATCAAAAGCCAAAGCATTTTGGACTTGGTGAAGATTATTTTGCAGGGCTTCAAAATAAGCCTCTTCCAAGGCCTGAAGCCTCTTGAAACAGGATACTCTGACAACACTAAGTGACTGCTGAAAGGTGGTGGGGATGATTAAGATAACCTATCTGGGGGGACTTTGGAAACACTAGTCCTGTCTTACCTGATTAAATGTGCTGTGCCATGTTATTATTGGGTCATTCATAGACAACTGTCTTCCCGGTAGTGCTTGGGGATCCATTCTCCCAATTTTCACTCGTAAGAAGGATTTATTTGGGAAGGTTACCCAGTTAATAATATCAAAGCCACCCACTAATTCACCATTCTCATCAAAACAAAACTTTTCACCGGCACTGTTGTTAAAGGAGAGCCTCCTCAAAAAACGGTGAAGCTAGCAGGAAAGAAATTAAGGCAGGTGATCCCAAAGCCATAGAAAAGGTAGAAGGAGAGAGAAAATCAGGTCTATGGTTAGAGGTGGTTCTTTTCTCATTTTCTAATCATAATGCTGATTGCATTTGGAAATCAATTTAGTAGAAGCTAACAGTGTGATTTCCATAAGAGCCAGTTTGGTGTAGTGGTTAAGAGTGCAGACTCTAATCTGGGAGAAGTGGGTTTGATTCCCCACTCCTCCACATGGAGTGACCCTCTCCAGCAAGAAGATAAGGTAAAAGATCTGATGGAATAATGTCACTGTTTGGTACATATTTACCCAGAGAATCCAATACATTAGCATCTCCCAACCGAGGGATCCCGGCATAAAAGTGTGCCCCAGATTTTGCAGTTCTACTGATTTTCTTTAAGTAGGTCATCATACCAAATACATTTGTTCTTGTGGTTCACCATACCAAAAATGCTGGGAACCACTGTACCACATAAGGATTGTTGTGGAACTGTGAAGGGATGAGGTTACAAATAACACCTTCAGTTATTAGAATGTGACATGTGTAATGATTCCTTGTTTTGATGTGTGTTCCTTTAAATGCAAGGAGGGTGATGGGGGGAGATGTGTGTGCTGTGATTGGTTGATGACTGAGAGTTTGGGAGGAGATGTTCTGAGAGGAATATGTGTGTGTGTGTGTTTTATGACAGAGTTCAGTGTGTATGCGTCTTTGGAGAGTGAAGTGTGAAAAGCTTTTTTTAAAAAATAATTATATTTATTTCAAATTTTCTATATGCATTACAACATGCATATATCCACATCTTATACAACCATGCAACACATTTCGGAGTCTTACACTTATCTATTTAATACCATTAGTTTTCCCCCAACCATTTGTAAAAATGTTCCCATCTATTTTTAAATATCACTTCATCCTTATTTTGTAATATTATAGTCAGTTTATCTATTTCCACCACTTCCTGTATTTTATAAATTAATTCTCTCTTGGAGGGTATTCCTCCTTGTTTCCAATACTTGGCAAATAATATACGAGCTGCTGTATTTATATAAACAATAACGTATTTTTCATCCTTTTTAAACTTATCCGGTAGTACATTTAACAAAAACAATTCAGGCACATAAGGTATTTCTATCCCTAAAATATTTACTAATATTTTATGAACTTTATGCCAATATTGTTGAGTCGTAGAGCACCTCCACCACGTATGGTAAAAAGTGCCCACATTGTTTTTACATTTCCAACATTTTTTTGACATCTAGGATAACATTTTGCCAATTTATCCAGTGACCAGTGCCACCGGTGAAACATTTTGTATACATTTTCCTTATAAGTGGTAGCTCGCAAGTATTTCGCAGCTTTCCATACTTTGTGAAAAGCTTTAAAGAAATGTTGTGGAACTCTAAAGTTTTGTGAGAGAGTCTACATGGAAAAGAAACAAGCTGTGTCTAAACTGTGTGGTTAGACAAATGTTTATTCTTGTGTGCCTAAGACTAAGAGCTTAACCAGTGTGGCTACGTATATGAGAGAGAGAAGCCTGTCAGAGTGAAATTTTAGTGTCTAAGAGACTGTGGGACACCAAGCTTGCTAGTTATATTTTACAAGTTCCTTTTTCCAGAAACCTATTTTGTTCTTACTTCAATAAATCCATTTTTGTTTAAACATATCCCAGAATTCAGTACAGTACTTCCTCAGGGCCACATAGTCCTCTGAAGTGCCCAGACCCTGGGTCACACTACCAAAGGAGAGAGAGTTGGAATTTTTAATTCCTGGTGGCAGCAGAAACTACCAAGTTTATATGCACAAAGTATGAATTAAAGGAAAAACCGTTTCCCCTATAAGCAAGCATGTCACAGAGTATGATTTAAAGGAAAAACAGGTGCCCCCCCCCATAGGAAGGAGGCCACAACATGCTTGTCAGGAACCTGGCATAAGCAGGAAGAGGAATCCCTGAACATCTCAGAGATGGGAACATTCAAAGCAAAGATTTAACATTGTTGCTGGATATTATGCACTCTCTGAACAGTATGGTCTGTCACCTTAGACTTCCTTCTGTATGAAATATTACCTGAAATGCTTGTGGCTTTGGATGGTCCAGCTTGTTTCCATCTACCATGATTCCATATTTGGTTCTGGATGAAGACATGGCATGTAAAGCATGTGCCACAGCATAGACAGCATTGTAGATACTGTAACTTTGGCCTGTCATGCTCATTTCAAAAAAAGGCCCAGGAAGGGTCTCTAGCTTCTCTTCCCCAGTGCAGCTATTCACAGCATCATTGTCCACATCAGTATCTGGAAATAGACAGCTAAATGCCTGCTGCCAGAATATTTTGATGAAACCATCTTCCTTAGCATGTGGATTTAGGCTCCTGAGGAACTTTGGGAATCCTTGAACTTCAGTGACATGAACTGCAAATGATAATGCACCATGGAAGACTTGTATGCCCAGTTCTCTATGATATATCTGTGACGAGAAATCGAAATGGGCCGTCATAACCCATTCTTTGTGTATAGGTGCCATGGAATCTGGATCAAACATATTCAGTGCCAACTGCAAAGCATTCAGGCTTTCGGAGTCTGCACTTATGATACAGATGTTGACACTAGTCTGGGTTAAGAAAAGTGTCATATTCTGAAACAGTTCTAACATTCCGTACATCTCCAATGTGTTTTTGTAGGTTGGTATTCTTTCCATGAAGGCGATACAGATGCCATTCTGGGCAAACTTGTGCGCCAAAGTCTGCCCAAACCTTTCTCCTTTATCATCATTTGCTACCATGACGCCCACCCAGTTCCACTGGAAATGCAGAAGAAGCTGAACAATCCCAGTATACTGGTGCTCTTCACTGGGGACAACTCTATACAAAGGAGAGAGTTGGATTACCTCACTCATTGCCGGAGCAAATAAGCAATATGTGACCTAAGCAAAAGAAGAAAGATACTTTACTTCACTGGGTTTGAGTTTGCAACGGTTTCTGATCCACTGTTGAATCTGGGGTGACTCACAACTTTTCTCTCCTGTTTAAAATAAAAAGAGCATTTTCATTTGGGAAAGAGTAGAAATGGTGAGTGGTTGGAAGCCAGTTTAGAATGGATAAAAGGAAGTACTTCTTCACCCAAAGAGTGATGAACACATGGAATTCACTGCCACAGGAGGTGGTGGCGGCTACAAGCATGGACGGCTTCAAAAGGGAATTAGATAAGCATCTGGAGCAGAGGTCCATCAGTGGCTATTAGCCACAAGGTATAGATAGGGACTCTGGGGCAAGTGATTCTCTGTCATCTTGGTGCTTGGGGGGGTCAACAGTGGGAGGGCTTCTAATGTCCTGGCCCCACTGGTGGACCTCCTGATGGCACTGGTATTTCTGGCCACTGTGTGACAGAGAGTGTTGGACTGGATGGGCCTTTGGCATCTCTTATGTTCTTATGTTCTTATCCACTCATCATCATATCTCTGTGGTCACCTGGGTGCCAGATGAACACTCTGTCCATGGTTCTGCAATGCATTCGTTCTATAATAAGGGAAGAAGAATATTTAGATAATTTTTGAAGTGAAATGAATGTTTCAGTTTCTGCTACTGGGAGAATGCAAACTAGAACTTGGCCAAGAGGGTAGGAGAATGGCATTAGCCTCACAGCATTCAGTGCCTCACCCATCCTTCAGTTATGTTGTCAGCTGAGTTTGTTTTCAGGATTGATTTACTCTTTTGAGCCAAATGTCAAAGTTCCTGCTATTCAAAGAGATCATTTTTTTCTTACCCAGTTCTCCTACTTATTAAAGATCGAATCCGACATGGCTGTTGTCTATGCAGGCACCATGAACCCAGTAAGGGGGTTTGTTTTTCTGGGTGGTTGAAGTGGACTGCTCATTCCATTTTCACCAGCATATAAATGGGTCCTATCCAGCCCACTCACCCTACACTACCACCTTCTATATGATGAGGGAATTCAGGGTGATGCTATTATAAATCCTTCCTTCTTTGGACACCCTTTGCCTACCTCTCAAGATATCAAAAAATAATAATAATGAAAGCAGCATTTGTGGATTTGAATACTACACCAAGAATCAAGATCCCACCTATCCTCTTCTTCCATTCCTGCCATGTGCTGTCAGCAACCTGTCCTATAGTGGTTTCATGCTCCTAAAATGAGTGTCACTTGGCACTTCTTTTCTTAAGTATGTTTAGAGAATCATAAAAAGGATAGTTGCTCTTATTTTGGCCTCGGCCACACGGGCAGGAAAATGCGGGGGGGGAGGTGTGGCTGTTTGCCCAGGAGCAAACTAATGCACGACTGCGCGATCAGGTGTCAGGTTGAGGTCCCATTGAGCTCCCGTGGTTAGCGAGGAGGTGCCGATCACACAACGTGGCAAAGAAGCGGAGTGGAGCGGCAAATGGGGTTGTGTTTTTTAAAAAAACTGAAATGTGCACATGCTCTGTTGGGTGCTTGTGCGCATCCATGGAGACTTGGGGGGCACCTTTTTGCGAGGGGACATGGGCGGGCGATGGAACTACCACTGGAAACATGATCAGATGCCCGCCCTTGCCCCGCAGTTTCCAGAAACTAGTACCTCCGAGGTACCCCGCATCTTCAGCAGGAAGCCTCGGGTGCGCCACGGGAGCTCTACGCTTCCCAGATGTGGCGGTGAGATCACGCCCGAAAATCCGCCTATCTTCCGTCTCTCTAGCGTGCCTAATGCTCCATGTGACTGGGGCCTTTGTGCGTCAACCCAAATGTTCAACCTCTCTGAGAAATTATGGGTGAAAGGAAGGGGATAAGTACACAGACTAGGGTAGCCAACCTCCAGGTGGTGGCTGGAGATCTCCTGGAATTACAACTGATCTCCAGGTGACAGAGATCAGTTCACCTGGATAAAAATGGCTGCTTTGGAAGGTGGACTCTATGACATCATACCCCACTGAAATGCCTACCCTCTCCAAATCCCACCCTCCTCGGGATCCACTCCCAAAATCTCCAAGTATTTCCCAACCTGGACCTGGCAACCCTAACACAGACATTTTGAATCAATGTGTGCATTTTCCCCCCTGTGCACTGGGACTAGAATGACATGTCCCTTTCACCCACCCGACAGTTCACATTATGAGACCTGAAAGAGGGGATGACTACCAGAAGAACTCTCTCATGTACAGCAACAACTCCAATTTTAAAAATGGATATTCTTCTGATACTCCTGCCATCAGCTAGAAGGAAAAATAGGAAGAGAGCCAAAGAGATTGTAATGTCTGGAAGAATAAACACAAATACTTTAAGAACATTGTGTGGGATCCAGACAATTTTTTTCACTTGGTCTCACTGAGTTGCCTTGTTTATTAAACCCATCTAACTTGGTTTCTGTCCATGCAGGTCCCTTTTGTAATTAAAGAGGACCCCTTCCTCCTTTATACATCAGTAGATAGCCTGGTTGGAACCTATTGTTTTTCTTACCTGAGGAATCTTGTAAATGCCTAAGAGAGTAGCCATATAAAGGGAGATTTCGGAGTCCAAGCCTCCAATGACAGCTATTAGGTTCTTCCAGATGCCACAGTTGTAGTTGGGGATAGTTCTATTCTGACTAAACAGAAGATTCAAGGTATTTCGAAAAGCCATCCTTGCATCAAAGTAGCTGTCATATATGTGGAAACCCAGTGTTATGTTTGGTAAGATGTGGGGACTCTCGTTAATCTCTTTTAAGGCAAAGACCAAGGACAAGACATGCTGGTAATTCTTGGGCACTGCACTGAAGTAAGAGACAAATGGTGTGTAATTCTGATATCCATAAACACTTATAACTGTGGTTTCAAGTATAGAAAGGTTCAACATCTTAAGGAAATTGTTCTAAGTAACTGGATATGTGAAATTTATCCACCATCATTTCCTCTATCACTGAGGACACTTTCCTTCTTTTTAAGCTATTCATATTAATATAATTTCATTACAACCAAGACAGACATTACCACTCCCTTTTTCTATTCTGGTTCATTAATTATTTGGGACCATCAAGGTAGTAAAACAAGCAATAAATGTAGGGTAGGATTCAACCAGTTTTTCTGCAGGTGAACAAGCACTACCAAAAGCTATGGAGGGATCATGGGACCCTTTCACCAATCAAAAAGTTATGCTGGGGACCATGGAAGCAATTTAGACAAAGGACACATGTGATCTGGGCTACAGTACAGAGGCTGATTACATAAAACTGAGTGGGGGAGAATGGTTGGATTTGATCAGCAAAAAAAGAAAAAATGTTGACAGTAGAAGGAGGGGGAGGAGACAAAATGGCGAGAAGTCTACTACAAGTTCAAGTTCTTTCTTTCTTATCTCTGTTCCTGTGATAGAAATCGACATGGCAGCTACCTACTTAAAATCAATTGAAAAGTTGCTGTCAAATGATGAGACTTGTTCAAGAGGCCTGAAAGTCACACTGTCCTGTTCTAATGTTCCCTATACTCATCCCCTCCCCAAACTGTGGGAGAGCTGAACTCTTGGCCAAAGTAATTGGATAAGAACAAAAGCATACGAAGAGAGGGAAATCGCATAGCCCATAATTTGACATCTTACTGAATCAATGGATCACTTTCAGAAGGTGTCATCGCTTGTATTGTGTTATCCATCTGTTAAGCAATAGTCTAATTCATGCTAAGGATAAAAATATACAGACAGTTCCCATACACAGATCCATGAAAAAGATTCCCTTTGGGGTGCTCCTCAAAAAGGACACTGTGAGAAACGGGGAAGAACTGTGAGGTGATTCCACCAATGAGGAAGTCTCCTGGCTGAGAATACTGGTGAGGTGTCTGCAAGGCATCATTCACTGTACACATAGCAAGATGTGTCTGAGATTCAGTTTGCGGCAGCAGCAGCCACAATATCAGGAGTTGTAGTGAAACCCTGAATCCTTTCATTTGGAATGAAGGGCATCTTCCCTTGAGATGAAATCCTTTCCCTGTGTGATCATTTATTATCCAGTACCAGCCTCTTGAACATCCAGCCTTCAATGGCACCATCCCTAAGTATTGGTCTCTAAACTGGAAGAAAGCACAAAGAAGGGGAAGACTGATACAGTGCTGTCTTGCAAAGTGACCTGTCCTTCAAATTGCCCCTTACCTCTGCTCTGAACAGTATGGGAATGTTTTATGTAAGCAGGATGGTATTTACTAATATTCAATCTGCGCTCTGGGAAGGAGGAGGCTGGGTCAGGGTAACTGGAAATGATTGCTGGGTATGTGAACACCTCCCCAAGGTATTGTGTTCTGTAGGACATCAGGTGCAGCAGAAACATGAAAGCAAACATTGCATAGGGAGAGCTGCTTCCATATTGCGTCACCACACTGATTTATATGAAAATCTCAGTTTCTGTAAAAGGTTCTTCCTGTTCAGGAGGAGACTATAGTCTTTTTTTTTTTAAAAAAAATATTCCATAAAGACACTAATGAAATACAGTAGAAATGCTGCCATGTAATTTTACTCCTATTTTTGCTTCCATTCCATATTAATTACATACAAATGCTATGGAACGATTTTGAGACCTGGCCTCTAAAGGTAAGAAGGGCCTGGAGTCTGACACAGCTATGCTACTTTACATTGCATTACTTCCTCTTTGATCAATACAATTGGGCTTTTTATAAGCATTTAATAGTTATGTAGGTTTTGGCACTAAAAACACTGAAAAGTCACAGTAATCTGAGAGAATGGCAGCATGGGCTCCCATGTATTCTGGCACCAGATTCAGCACAACCATAAAAGGAGCATCATAATGCAGTTAAAGTGAAGCACTTTTGAGTCACATTGATTTTAGACTGGCCCTAATTTTAATAAGGTTTTCATTTTTCTTGTAAACACTGACATGCTCACAACAAAAATCATCTCTGCTATCAAATCTCAAGCACATTCACAAAAGGTGTCACCAGAGCCACTGTGGTATCCACCTAGAGCGTTGCATGAAAATCTTAGTGACCAGGGTCCAAATCCACAAACTGCCCTGAAGCAAGTTGGTAAATTTAGTCCAATTACTCTCCCTCAGCCCATCTTTCTCATGTATAGCCATTCTAAGTGGTGCAGGGCAGCAGAAGTAACAGCCCTATATTGAAGTCATCTAATTAGACCGACTATCTTGACTTTATAAACAGGGTTACCCATTCTAAATTCACTCAAATGAAACAGTTAAAAAAGCACAAAAAATAGAGGGAACTACCAACTGCTGCCATGGGCAGTAAAGCAAGAATCCCATTGTGCAGCCTCAATGAAGACATAGACATTGATTATACTTGGATTTTATTATTGGGAACTAGAAGTTACTCAGAAACAAATTACATTTAATGACCTTGGGATAAAATCATGAGAACATAATAAGGGTTATTGAATTCTTACTCATTTCTCCTTATTAGACACTCTTTACTGTTTAATTCAGGCCTCAGGACAATTATATAACATTTGGGAGAAAAAATACATCCCAGTAAACCAAGTCCAGAGGCCAAGATGGAGAAGATCTCTACAGCTGTCATATATTTCCCTTTGATACCTAAATATGTTGGAACAAAAGACACCCACACAATGCAAAACACCAACATGCTGAAAGTGATAAACTTGGCTTCATTAAAAGAGTCAGGCAGCTTCCGAGCAAAGTAAGCTGCAAAGAAGCTGGTAAGAGAGAGAAATCCTATGTAGCCCAGAACATAGTAAAGTATGTTGGCAGACCCTTCATTGCATTCCACTATGATTTCTTCAGCCAAAGAGTTCATGTCAACATTTGGGAATGGGGGGTCATAGCAGAGGCAAACCAGGCAAAGACACATTTGAATGAATGAACAAGTAGAAACAGCAGAGAAAGCAAAGCTTTTCCCGATCCCCTTCTTCATCTTTGATCCTGGTTTAGAGGCCATGAAAGCCAAGACCACAATGATGGTTTTTGTCAACAAAGAAGAAATGGCCACTGTGAAGATGACGCCAAAAGCTGTCTGGCGTAGAAGACAGGTGAGAAAGTGAGGTCGGCCAATGAACAGCAAGGAGCAGAGGAAGCAGAGCAGGAGGGAGACAAGCAGAACATAGGAGAGTTCTCTGTTGTTGGCTTTGACGATGGGAGTGTTCCGGTGCTTTACAAAGATCCCAAGTACCACAGCTGTGGTCAGAGAAAGAGACAGAGCACAAACAGCCAAACTCCTGCCCAGAGGTTCACCATAAGACAGGAAATGGAGATGCTTTTGAAGACATTCATTTTGATTTGGATTTGGATACTTATCTTCTGGGCATTTGGTACAGTCATCCATATCTTTAAAAGGGGGAGGAGGAAAGTGCAATTTCACTCTATGTCATATGTTGAATTTGGCCTAGTGATATTTCATTTCATTATCTACCATTTATAAATCCAAGCCATTATGTTAGTTTTGAGATAGTGCAGGGATATTTCTCCACTGAAGAATGAAACAGTGGCTTGGTGTTCTTCTGATTGCTCTGTGTTCTTACCAATATTGGGGAATATAAGATATTACAAATAGCAATAGGCAATACGGGAGCAAACACCTTTGCATACATATCCATCCATATCTTTAAAAGGGGGAGGAGGAAAGTGCAATTTCACTCTATGTCATATGTTGAATTTGGCCTAGTGATATTTCATTTCATTATCTACCATTTATAAATCCAAGCCATTATGTTAGTTTTGAGATAGTGCAGGGATATTTCTCCACTGAAGAATGAAACAGTGGCTTGGTGTTCGCCTGATTGCTCTGTGTTCTTACCAATATTGGGGAATATAAGATATTACAAATAGCAATAGGCAATACGGGAGCAAACACCTTTGCATACAGGGGTCCTGCTTTTTCCAGAAGCCCCAGAAATAGACACAGAGGCTGGTTTCCAATATAAAATTATTCTTTTTACTGTAGTTTCTTCACAATCAAACAATACTCAAGCACGCACACAAATAGGGGAGGCAGGATAACAAGAGCTAAAAGGCTAAAAAGATGTATAGAGGATGTTGAGAGGGCATAGAGATGGCGAAGAGAGAGTGAGCATGTTGCTGTGTACCCACTTTTGTATGGGGGGCTCTGGGGGAGGGCTTTGCTGGCCACCTCCCTTGAGACCACCCCTTGGTGGTCTGTTCCAAAAGTCACGTTCACAATGGGGAAAGGGGCTTAAGGGTTGGTCAATTTGACTGTCCCTCTCAGAGCAGTCAGTCAACATGGGGGTGGGTTGTCTGCATAGGGCTGAAGTGACATATTTGAATTCAAGCATAAAATCTGCATAGGGCTGAAGTGACATATTTGAATTCAAGCATAAACAAGAGTCCATTGTTTCACTTATGTCACAGGTATTCAGAGTTCCTATATAATGTAGTTTGAATGGTACAAATAAAATTCTGGAAAATGGAAAGAAAAAAAAAGGTTGGTCAATGTTGAATTCTAACTAAACTTGTAGCAGAGACACCTCGATAGTCGTGATGACTCATTGGCTGGCACTTATTGTGTTCTTTGTCTCAGGGCTGCAGAACCGGTTCCTTGAATGGATGAGGAAGGCCAAGTCCTTTGTCAAACAAAAGGCAAGGAAGAGTCTTTTGTGCCTTTGATGCAAAGAAGGTGGTGGTGGGGAGAAGCTGCCGGCGTGATGAAGGACTGCCTTAAGTTTAAGGAGTCCTTAGTTTAAACAGCAAGGCAGATGGCTGTTTTGGAGTGTTCCATGTGTCTAGGGATACATCTAGAATGGGGCAACCTCAGGAACCACGGGCACATCGACTCAGGCTGTTGCTGGCTCGTGTCTGGCATCACAATCTGGTCACCTTACATCAGAATCCCTTTTGCACATTTCATACACAGTCCATTTATGTCCTTAAGAGAGCACAAAGCTCCTTGCTGGGCAACAATGGGTCCAGACTAGCATTTGCATACGTGTAAGAATTTCTGGCCATTGGCTCTGACTTTCTTGCCTCTCCTCTTCCACAACATCCTGAAACACCCCCACCCCCTAATTCTTTTACTGGGAGACTGGGAAATAACAAGGGATGCCCAAGAACGATTGGCAGTCATTTTGGGTTGGTGGGGGGAACTGTGTTCTGCAAGTAGAAATCCTTGTGTCCACAGAAATGCTAGGCTATATCTAATTTCTACCCAATCTATGATGTATATATTTCAAGGTAGCCTACCTTAACTCACTGAAAATGTCGAGACAGTGTGTGACTGCAATAAAAAAGGTCAAAGCTATGCTGGGGATTATTAGGAAGGGTATTGAAAACAGATCAGCCAATATCATAATGCCCCTATATAAATCAATGGTGCGACCTCATTTGGAATACTGTGTGCAGTTCTGGTCACCACACCTTAAAAAGGATATTATACCTTTGGAAAAAGTGCAGAAAAGGGCAACTCGAATGATAAAAGGGTTGGAACACTTTCCGTATAAGGAAAGGTTAAAGCTCTTAGGGCTCTTTAGCGTGGAGAAATGACGACTGAGGGGTGACATGATCGAGGTTTATAAGATTATGCATGGGATAGAGCAGGTAAGGAAAGAGGTACTTTTCTCCCTTTCTCACAATATAAGAACTCATGGGCACTCAATGAAATTGCTGAGCAGTCGGGTTAGAACAGATAAAAGGAAGTACTTCTTCACCCAAAGAGTGATTAACACATGGAATTCACTGCCACAGGAAGTGGTGGCGGCTATGAGCATGGATGGCTTCAAAAGGGAATTAGATAAGCATATGGAGCAGAGGTCCATCAGTGGCTATTAGCCACAAGGTATAGATAGGGACTCTGGAGCAAGTGATGCTCTGTCTTCTTGATGCTTGGGGGGGGGGCAACAGTGGTAGGGCTTCTAATGTCCTGGCCCCACTGTTTGAACCTCCTGATGGCACTGGTATTTCTGGCCACTGTGTGACACAGAGTGTTGGACTGGATGGGCCTTTGGGCTGATCCAACATTGGCATCTCTTATGTTCTTATGTACCTTCTTGGTCTGAGATCTTCCCTTCTGGACATGGAGCACAATCATAGCAGCAAAATTGTTCTCCTTCTTTTCTTTTTCTGCTGTAACCTGGAGGGCAGTTGTCATTACACACAGCACGGGGTGTGACCTGTCAATCAGAAGGCAGATGGCACCCTTTAATGTTGTGGAAAATTTGAGAAGAATTATGTAAGCTAGTGGATAAGAGGTAGGTTGCTGGATGAGTAGGAAGGAGAGAAGAAGCAAGGAAAGGATATGGGGGCAGCTACAAGCATGGACAGCTTCAAGAGGGAATTAGATAAACATATGGAACAGAGGTCCATCAGTGGTTATTAGCCCCACGGTATAGATAGGAACTCTTGAGGCAAGTGATACAATGTATTCTTGGTACTTGGGGGGACACAACAGTGGGAGGGCTTCTAGTGTCCTGGTCTCACTGCTAGACCTCCTGACGGCACCTGGTATTTTTGGCCACTGTGTGACAGAGTGTTGGACTGGATGGGCCATTGGCCTGATCCAACATTGGCTTCTCTTATGTTCTTATGTACCAGGAGGGCAAAAAGAGGAAATAATATGAGGTCGGGGATGGGGGGAGAAGTGAGGGGCCCTTTGCAAGTCCTTGTAAGTTCCCTACTGTGGCCACCACAACAGAAAGTTGGGGGAGGGAAGGGGAAAGGGAAGCAGTGCTAGCTGAAGCAGGAGGAAATAATGTAACACTGGCTGGTTGGTAAAGTATAGAGAATGAAGCAGAAAAAGGGGAGAGGCTATAGGGGCTTTCAGAGATGTGAAAGAGGAAATAGTAGAGGAGGAGAAAATGAGATCCCTCCCTCAAATCTTTGCTGGTCCCCCTCTTGTACTTAATAGAAAGGATTAATGGGGGGGAAACCATAGACCACTACAGCTAGTAGGAGAAACAATAACAGTTTGTTTTCCTGAGAACACTTTCTATTTTCTGGAAAGCACCACTTCTGGCTCACCTCCAAATATATAGTGCAAATTTAGTCAATGCTATCCTGGATAAGTAAATACTTGCCTTAAATTTTGATTGTCTCTCTTACTGAAACACAGACAATAAAAATGGACTGCCTTATATTTGAAACTATACCATTGTCTCCAATGAGTGTGGATATCTCGAGGGGGTCTCAAACTGGAGGGACTTGGAATTTAACCATTTCCCCTTTTTATGCAAAGTCTATTTATCTACCACTGTTGTGGGCCTCTCCTGCTTTGAACAATATTATTTGAGAAGTTCAATGTCAAAATGATTACGAATCAGATCATACCTGATTAAATGTGTTGTGCCATGTTATTATTGGGTCATTCATAGACAACTGTCTTCCCGGTAGTGCTTGGGGATCCATTCTCCCAATTTTCACTCGTAAGAAGGATTTATTTGGGAAGGTCACCCAGTTTATAACATCAAAGCCACCCGCTAATTCGCCATTCTCATCAAAACAAAACTTTTCACCGGCACTGTTGTTAAAGGAGAGTTTCCTCAAAAAATGATGAAGCTAGCAGGGGAAAAAATTAAGGCAGGTGATACTAAAGCAATAGAAAATGGACAAGGAGAGAAGAAGAAAAAAACAGGTCCAGGGTTGGAGGTGGTTCTTTTCTCGTTCATGGGTTGTCTAATTATAAATATGGTTGCATTTGGAAGAATGTACCACTTTAGTCCCCTTGTTTCTCCTGTGATACTCTAGTAGAGTTGCTTGCCACCTGTCCTGAAGGAAAATGTTCTTATGCTTTAATAGAGGCTTGTGGCAGACAGCTGAAGCTGTTCATAACATGGCAGCAAGTAATATCAACTGTCAAATAACATCCTATTAAGCCGCTGTTACATTCTTTCTCCAGGCATCTTCACAACCCTACCCTTCAGGGCCAGTGGGAGTGGTTCATTGTGGAATGTGCAGGGAAGGAGAGTTAAAATCTGCTTCCACCCTTTTTGGCCACAATGTTTATTTCAGCATTTTTCGCCCAACACATGAGGCACTGGAAGCATTTCATTAAAAATGGGGACATGTAGATCTGATAATGTAATTGAATGACCTAATACTTCTTTACAAATGGAAAGCCACAAAGATGACAGATGAAAAATGGAAAGGTGGGATACAAGAACAGTCATTGGGGTGGTCCTCTCTGGCAGAAAGATGTTGTAACTAATCTGACTGGATAATGTCACAGTCAGGAACAAGTTTACCCCATGAGTGCGATAGGGCAGCTTTCCCCCTCAACGTAGAGCCCCATCCCAAAAGTGGTTCATGAAATGTTTCAAGTGGGTCACCATACCATGTACGTTTAGCATTGTGGGTCACTATAGTAAAAATATTAGAAACTGTTGTTCTACATAAAGACAAATGAGAAACTGTGAAGAGATAAAACTGTCAATAAAACATTTAATTATTAGGATACAACACACTTGTGAATCACCTGACATAGGTGGGAAGAGGAATCCCTGAGCATCTCAAAGATGGGAACATTCAAAGTCAAGATTTGATGTGGTTGGATATTATGCATTTTCTGAACACTCTACTCCATCACCCTAGATTTCCTTCTATATGAAATATTACCTGAAATGTCTGTGGCTTTGGAGGCTGCAGCTTGTTTCCATCTGTCATGGTTCTATATTTGGTTCTGGACAAAATCATGGCATGTAAAGCATGTGCCACGGCATAGACAGCATTGTAGATACTGTAACTTTGGCCTGTCATACTCATTTCGAAAAAAGGCCCAGGAAGGCTCTCCAGCTTCTCTTCCCCAGTGCAGCTATTCACAGCCTCATTCTCCACATCAGTATCTGGAAATACACAGTCAAAGGCCTGTTGCCAGAAGGTCCTGATGAAACCATCTTCCTCAGTATGTGGATTTAGGCTCCTGAGAAACTCTGGGAATCCTTGAATTTCAATTAGATGAACTGCAAACGATAAGGCACCATGGAAGACCTGTATGCCTAGATCTCTATGATGCAGCTGCGATGAGAAATCAAAATGGGCTGTCATAACCCATACTTTGCCTATAGGTGTCATGGTATCTGGATCAAACATATTCAGTGCCAACTGCAAAGCGCTCATATTTTGAGAGTCTGCATTTACAATACATACGTTAACAGTAGTCTTAGTTAAGAGAACTGTTACATTCTGAAAGAGTTCTAGCATTTCATATATCTCAAATGTGTTTTTGTAGATCGGTATTCTTTCCATGAAGGCTATACAGATGCCATTCTGGGAAAACTTGTGTGCTAAAGTCTGCACAAACCTTTCTCCTTTATCGTCATTTATTGCAATGATGGCGATCCAGTTCCAATGGAAATGCAGAAGAAGCTGGACAATCCCAGTGTACTGGTGCTCTTCACTGGGGACAACTCTATACAAAGGAGAGAGTTGAATTACCTCACTCATTGCAGGAGCAAATAAGCAATATGTGACCTAAGCAAAAGGGGGAAAAATCATTATATAATTGGGTTTGGGAATTCATGCCTTTTAAGCAAATTCCAACTTCCAATCCACTGTGGAATTCAAGGTGACTAACATTACTTTTCTTTGTGACATGGTTCTTGGATGAAATCCACCTTGGTTGGCTGGATTCCCCTCGACCCCTTTTGCTCAGATATGTTGACCATCTATGTTTTGACTTCTGCCCAGACTGGTTTCATTAACCACTATCCAAGATCTTCAGAAGCCTCATGTCTGTAGTTTGTTAAATTAAGCCTGAGCAGCTTACGTAGCCCAAAATGTCTGGTTTGAGTTCCTTTCCCCTTTTCTGTCTGTTATTATATTAATGGTTTAAGTAAAGTGAACATGCCAATTAACACATATGTTCTGTTGTCCAGATCTCCTTCCTCCTTTCCATACATTCTTTTTTTTAATCTAAGAAGTTTTTATTGCTTTTCCAAAAAAGGAAAAAAGGAAAGATTAAAAAATTAAAAAATGATAGTAGTATCTTGTAATACATTCAGTTTAAATCTCTCCTAGCTTAAAACAGAGAATTTTTCTAATAACCTAACGATATTTGCAACTATGTGTGTCAAACAATACATGAATGATTTCATTTGATAATTTTCTAAACATTCTAGTATTATTATCTTTTGGTAATATAAGTTCCTGAGCTCTTACTATCAAATTTCATATTTTCTTAACCTATTCTTATCTTTAATAAAGTCATTTCCCTCCTATTTTTTCTTTCAAGTTCAAGTTTCCCTGTGAAATGATATACTGATTTTTTAAAAAATGTGTTACCTTATTTTTGATAAAAAATAAAGATGAATTCTTCTTTATGATTCTCCTAATAATCTATCTTTTCTACCGTTTTACTAAAAATCCTTATACTGTCACCTCTCTCAACTGATTTCTTAACAATACAAGCCATTCTGTATAGTTACACTTTAATAAGAGCTCCTTAAACCACTCTTATATGTTATTAAGTTTTCTTAATAACAATTTTATACATAAAGCTTAGTGGGTTTTTTTGTCTGGTATCTTCTCTTCAAAAGGATCTTGTCTCTATGTCTTTTCCCCTTGTGTACTGCATACAATTGCTTTAAGGGTTGCAATGTGTAGCTTGAAGTAATGCTTGGTTGGGTATTTTCCATCTTCTTTTCTTTCTGAGATGACTTTTGCTTCAGAGGTTTGGTTGTTCCTTTAGGCATCTGTCTCTTTGGTTCTATAAAACATAGTTCCATAAGAGGTTTAGTTTCCTTTTTTGGTGTGTTTTTCTTGTTACAGGGCATCTTCCCATAGGTTAGAGGAGGATCCTCTTGCTTGCAGTTTTGTTCGGTGTCTCTCAAAGATTGCTCCTGAAGTTTGTCTGAATTGCTTGTAGATTTCAATAGAGTATTTAAGCTTTGGTCATATAGTTCAGCACAACTTTCTTTGATTGCTAGCTTAATTGAGCCCAGGATCATGAATTTAAGAGCATCCCATGAAAATTGAGTCAGCTTAACACCTGCAATATCATCTGAATTTAAAGCTTTTAATTCATTTCCCGCTTGGAAATCCATTTTGTAAAGTCTGCAACCCCAGTACAAAAGAAAGTACGGGCAGTTCAGTCTGCCAACAGTCTAGGAGCTGAATCACACTGCTGGATAGATTACTATAGTAGACATAATAACAACTGAGAATCTTTCAACAAGAGCCAGGTGATTGCTTTTATCCAATGTCTTCTGAGCCCAGGAGACTTCAAAAACAAGAGTGATGTTACAGGAAGTTCTATTACCATATAAGGAAGTTCTTTTTAAAATGCCTCTATTTTGTCTTCTTTTTAATGAAAGTCAAAAATTTAGCTGGTTTATAATTCCGATAAAGGTGGTAGAATGTTCAGATAAGATTATTTTGTATCCCTTTTTTATTCCCCTTGTAGTTATTTAAAAAGTTTTATATCTGGTACTTTTGCTAACTGATTGTGCCGAGGAGAGGGGGTGGGAGATTCTCTTCTTCCTTTCCTCATCTTTGTGGATGTTTGGAGGAGGTTTAATCAAAGGGTTTCCTGATTCTTTGATGTTGCTTTATACAGGTACTCACGGTTTCTTCATCGATGTTGGAGATGAGGTATGGTGCTCTCTTTGCCGGGCATTCATCGCTGTGCAGTCATGGTGGACCATGACTGCACTTCTTCGTGCTCTTGCTTCAGGATGATCTGGCTCCTACCCACTCACTGCCACTCGCGGGGGGCTCATATCACGTCCCCTGCTCCAGACCTCTCTCTGGGAGGTCTGGTGGAACTCGGGAGATTCCACAGTTCCAATAAAAGCAACAAATAGTTGGCAGTGCTCAGGAGCAAGACTGAGCATCCACCGCCTCGCAGTGCTGCAACCCGGAAGCACCTCGACTACCTATACATTCTATATGCAAAAACATGTTCTATGAACCCTGGCATTAGAATTGATATCCTGGGAATTCTTCCAACATTTTGAAGGGAGCAACAGAAGGATTTCACATTCAAAGTTTTCAGACTCTGAATTTTAAGTTTCCATGCTTAGATTTCAAATCTACAGGCCTACAGCCTGCAATGGCTTCCTTTCTGTTCAGACCTGCAACCTACTAACAGTATGGATATTTTATTTGAAAAGCAAGAAAAGCCTACCTGTGTGTCACATACTGGGCTGGATCCAGCAATCTTTTTTCACCTTGTTCCCCTCACACAATTCTATTTATTACAGCCCCCATTCCACATGGCTGTTGTCCATACAAGTGCCATGAACCCAGTAAAGTTTTTTTTCTGGGTGGTCAAAGTGGACTGTTCCTAACATTTTCACCAGGGTATAAACGTCTTAGATCCAACCCAGTCACCCTCCAGTACCACCTCATATATGCAGAGGGGATCCAGGGTGACATCAACACAAATCCTTTATACTTTGAACATTCTTTCCCTGCCTTTTAATCTATCAAAAATGAAAATGGCAGTTGTGTATCTGAATTTGTTTGTACCCCATGAATCAAGATCTGAGGTATCATCTCCTTCTTCCTTTCTTGCCATGTGCTGTTAGCAGACTGTCCTACAGTTCTTGAAGAATCAGTCTATTGTTTTCTTACCTGAGCAATCTTGTAGATGCCTAAGAGAGTAGCCATGTGAAGGGAGATTTCGGAGTCCAAGCCTCCAATGACAGCTATGAGGTTCTTCCAGATGCCACAGTTGTAGTTGGGGATAGTCCTATTCTGATTAAACAGAAGGTTCAAGGTATTTCGAAAAGCCATCCTTGCATCAAAGTAGCTGTCATAGATGGAGAACCCCAGTGTTAGGTTTGGTAAGATCTGGAGATTCTCGTTAATCTCTTCTAAGGCAAAGACCAAGGACAAGACATGCTGGTAATTCTTGGGCACTGCACTGAAGTAAGAGACAAATGGTGTTTAAGTCTGATATTCATAAGTATTTACAACTGTGGTTTCAAAGTGTACAAGGATTCAACACCCTAAGGAAATAATTCTGAGTAACTGGATGTGTGACATTTGTGTTCACCTTCATTTCCTGTATCATTGAATATTCAGGACAGCTTCCTTCTTTCTAAACTATTCATATTAATATAGCTACATTACAACAGAGACAGATATTACCACTCTATTTTCTTATCCTTGCTCATTAATTAGTTTGGGATTAGCAGGGTAGCAATAGGATGTAGGGTGGGATCCAAGCAGTTTTTCTGCAGGTGAAAAAGGACTTCCAAAAAGCTCTGGAGGGATCATGGGACCTTTTTACCATAAAAAAACCCTGTGCCAGGGATGATGGGACCAACTTGGACAAAAGACATAGGTGGTGTGGGCTGCAGTAAAATGTAACACTGAGTGCAAAAAACAAAACTAGCTGTATCCTACCAAAAAAGATAAATTGTTGACAGTAAAAGAAGAGGAGAATTGTGGAAATGGGGCACAAGACAGAGGTCTCACACAAGTCTACTACACTTCTTTCTTTCTTTCTTTCTTTCTTTCTTTCTTTCTTTCTTTCTTTCTTCTTTCTTTCTTTCTTTCTTTTTCTTCATTCTTGCAATTCAAATCAGTATGGCAGCTGTCCTACTTAAAATCAATTTTAAAAGTTGGTGTCAAATGATGACACTTGCCCAGGAAGACTGAAAGTCACACTGCCCTGTTCTAATGCTCCCTAACTTGTCCAGATGCCTAAGCTGTTGGACATCTGAACTCTTGGACAGAGTAATTGGAAAAGAACAAAAGCAGACAAAAGGGAACATCACCAATAATTTGCAATCGGAAAGGGAATTGAATAAACCTCTTTAGATGGGAATAATTGTTTCAAAAGGCTAAATATATTTTTTCAATTTGACATCTTATTGAATAAATGGGTCATTTTCAGAATATGCCATTGCTTGGATCATATGAACTGTTTGTAATGAGTATGAACTATTCTAAGTCCTCCTAAGGATAAAAAATATATATACAGGCAGTTTTCATACAAAGATTCATGGAAAAGATTTCGTTTGGGATGCTCCTTGAAAGTGACAGGGTCTGAAATGGAGAAGAACTGAGAGGTGATGCCACCAATGAGGAGGTCTCCTGGTCGAGAATACTGTTGTGATGTCTGGAGGAGATCATTCATCGTACACATAGCAGGATGCATCTCAGATTCAGTTTGTGGCAGCAGCAGCCATGAAATCAGGAGTTTTAGTGAAGCACTGAATCCTGCCATTTGGAATGCAAAAGCATCTTCCATTGAGATGAAGCCCTTGCTTTCTGTCTTATCATTTACTATCCATCATCAGCCTCTTAAACATCCAGACTTCAATGGCACCATCCCCTCCTATGAAGCTCAGCAAAGCACTGGTCTATACATTTGAAGAGATCACAAAGAAAGGGCAGACTGATGCTGTCTTGTCTTGCAAATAGTCCCTCACTGCTGCTCTGAACAGTATGGGGATGTTTTATGTAAGAAGGGCATTATTTACTAACATTCAGTCTGAGCTCTGGCAGGAAGGAGGCTGGATCAAAGTAATTGAAAATGATTGCTGGGTATGTCAACACCTCCCCAAGGCATAGTGTTCTGTAGCCTATCAGGTGTAGAAGGAAAACAAAATATGAAAAAGATGCTACTGTATGGTGTTGCCATATTGGTGTGATATGAAAATCTCAATTTCTGCCAAAGGTCCTTCATGTTCTGGAAGAAACTATAGTCCCTTTAAAATTGTTATTTCATGAAGGTACTAATAAAACATGATAGAAATACTTCCAAATAAATTTGCACCTATTTTTGCCTCTGCCCCATATTAATTGTAGGCCAATGGCTTTACAGTGGCCTGTAATGTATCAATTGGAAGGGTAGGAGATCACACAGTCAAGCCAAAAAGAGCTAAGAAAAAAACAACTGTGTACAACAACGCTAATATAATGTAACAGACTTACATAAATATAGCAATTAAAGAAACAATAAATAATATCTGAAAGTTATGTGTTGTTTTCATTCATTCACCTAAGTCTCCGGATTACAATCTTTGTTTTGAAAATCTTCTTCTAGAATATCATAATAACATGAAATATTAAGTTCAATATAGATGGGTTCTTCAGTCAAACTTCTTAATTCATTCTAAGTCATTACAAGGTTTTGGGTAAAATTACACCATTTCAAAGAACTGGCTACCAGTTACCAGGGGTCGTTTCGTAGAAAAAGAGCTAGGGGAACTCATTAGCATAACTCATTAGCATATGCCACACCCCCTGACATCACCGGAAGTGTGTCATAAGGCCACACCCCCTGACATCACCAGAAGTGTGTCATAAGGCCACACACACCACCCCCAACGGTCCCGGCCGCCGCTGGCGGCCTTGCAGCTCCACTGCCGAGCCCGATGAGGGGCCCAGCGGTGGACCTGCAAGGCCGGCGGGAGTGCAAGGAAGCCCCGCGAAGGCCCTCCCTGGCCCCAGGCAGGCAGGGGTGGGGAGAGGCAGGCTTTGTCATGTGCCCCACCCACCGTACCTCACCCGGGGGAACTGCGATCCCCCGCGATCCCCCCCGAAATGACCTCTGCCAGTTACTCATTCAGACAGGAACTACTCTCTACATTGCTGATCTGGTATCAATGACATCAATAATATTAATATTAAAATATTTTTAAATGCCATTTAAAAATTCCTGAAAAGCAGTGAAACAGAGAAAGCACATCAGATGCCAGTTTGGTGTAGTGGTTCAGTGCGCGGACTCTAATCTGGGAGAACCGAGTTTGATTCCCCACTCCTCCACTTGCACCTGGCTGGATGACCTTGGGCAAGCCATAACTCTGGCACAGCTGTCCTTGAAAAAGAGCAGTTTCTGTCAAGAGTTCTCTCAGCCCCACCTACCTCACAGGGTGTCTGTTGTGGGGAGGGGAAGGTGAAGGAGTTTGTAAGCCGCTCTGAGACACCTTTGGGTAGTGAAGGGCAGGGTATAGTAAATCCAATCTCCTCTTCTTCCCTTCCTCAACATGTTCAGTTTGGAGAAGAGGAGGCTGAGGGAGGGACATAATTGCTTCCTTGAAGTACTTGAAGGGCTGTCATTTAGAGGAGGGCATCACTTCTCGGCCTTTTGGCTAAGATCAGCGTAAACATTGGGTGATTTCTCACGAGAGCTGCCTCGCAGCACAGCGCCGTTTGCCTCGACACAAATGTGTCAATTTCACACCCGAAGCTCCGGGGCTGCATTTTGACTCGGGGCTTCGACCTATTTCCTCCGCAGTTTCGTGATCCTGGTTTTTGAGGATCATGAAACTGCGGGGGAAATCGGGCGAAGCCCCAAGTCAAATGCAGCCCCAGAGCTTCGGGTGTGAAATTGACACGTTTGTGTCGAGGCAAACAGCGCTGTGCTGCGAGGCAGCTCTTGTGAGAAATCACCCATTATCTAAATTAAAGTCACTTAGAGGAGGGCAGGGAGCTGTTCCTGTGGGCAGCAAAGGATAGGACTCACAAGAATGGCTTTAAATTACAGGCGGGAAAGTACCGGCTGGATATTAGGAAAAACTATTTTTACAGTAAGGGTTGTTCAGCAGTGGAATCAGCTGCCTAGGGAGGTGGCGGGCTCCCCCTCACCTGCAGTCTTTAAGCAGTGGCTGGACAAACACTTGTCAGGGATGCTCTAGGCTGATCCTGCATTGGGCAGGGGTTGGACTAGGTGGCCTGTATGGTCCTTTCCAACTCTGAGATTCTGTGATTCTATGAAAAACAGAACATATTGTTTTAGTTGTCATGTGTAGTCTTACTAAAACCTATTTTCAAACCAACTGATTTTTACAGCAGCCCTGATTTTTCATGAGGGCTACAATATCTTTGTGAAATCCTATTTATTCTGCTTTTTCTCATGTTGGTCATGTTTGTTCACAGCCTTTGTTCTCCTGATTAGTTTTTGTTAGAGGTTTGTTTTTTAAAAAAGTTAAGGTATGGGACAGTGGAAGATACAATTTTCTGCTTCATCCCTGACTGGTATCATTCAATTTATCTGATTTTTTGTTTTTACACAGCAAGTTGAGAATCATATATGGAAAATGATGATGCCATTGCTTCATGTATCTAAACAAATTTGGCTAGGTGTTTAATGTCACAGTTGCACTGTTTCTAAATAGGGCTTGTGAGTTCCCTTCTTTTTAACAGGAAACCTCTATTTTGCTTTTTATGCTTTGTACTCATGATCTTTTATTTTTGCACTGTTTCTTGTATCCCATCATGAAAGTATTATCATATAGCATGCCCACACAGTTCAACAATATGCTTACTAAGTTTTGAAGCCTATGAATGAGTTCTGAACATGCTAGATTGCTTCTGCTGCAAAGTGTGCACCCTCTTGTGCTAGCACTACTGTTTGCTCAAGCACTCTTTGGATACCATTCATTTCACACACAAAAAGGAATGCTAGCACAAGAGGAAGAATGTTCTGTATGCCTATTGCACTTAGAACCCATACACAGAAGGATGGATAGATGATAGATAGATAGATAGATAGATAGATAGATAGATAGATCAATCAATTTAAGTGTTTCCTGGAATAGATGATAGATTATAGACAGATATGTGTTGAACATGTATTATAGACAGATATGTGTTGAACATGTGTTGAACATAGATTATAGACAGATATGTGTTGAACATCAGATATGTACAGTTCACATAAATATGGCACAAATAGTGTAAAGTATCTGTTAAATACTGTGTTCCATGGATGGTCCAACCCCAAGCTTAGTGATCAGCTCAGCTTTATTAGTGATTCAGCAGATACAAGACAAAATGCCAGGTCAACAGCCCTGTTTAAATAGCATGCAAACACCACACCCAACCACACCCAACTCCCAACGATAGGCTATTTACATAACATTAATTCCTCACTGGAGCTGCGGTGGCTCAAGTGGTTAAGACATTGAACTGCAGGCTGTGAAAAGTCAGTAGTTCAGCAGTTCAAGACCCGGGTGCAGCATGACGGAGTGAGCGCCCGTCTCTAGTTCCAGCTCCTGCCAACCTAGCAGTTCGAAAGCAAGAAATTGCAAGTGGATAAATAGGGACCACTTCGGTGGGAAGGTAACAGCGTTCTGTGCACCTTGGTGTTTAGTCATGCCGGCCACATGACCACAGAAATGTCTTCGGACAGCGCTGGCTCTTCGGCTTTGAAACGGAGATGAGCACCGCAACCCTAGAGTCGGATTCGACTGGCTTTCGAGCAAGGGAAACCTTTACCTTTACCTTAATTCCTCATTGGTCACCTCCAGAGTCCTAGATAGCTATTGTTCTAGAGCTCCAAGCTCAGCCAGTCTCTGGTAGACAGTCCTGGGATGTTGCAGCCCCAATACGTAACAGTGTCCCTAACATGAATAAGAGCAAATGATGCATTAGAACCAAAACTGAAAAGGGTAGACTGAGAAAGATTCATGAGCTGACCATCGCTCCATTTTTTTAAAGGACCTGGATGTCAATTACTTCCTGTCCCCAACCCCTGCTATGCGTCCAGTTTTAAGTGTTTCCTGGAATAGTTCATGAATGGGAGGAGGGATTAGGGTTGCCAAGTCACGGCGGGGGGTTGTAGGTCTTCACAGAATCATTGCCGCGGGGACAGCGAGATGCTTTGCACCCACCGTCACCAGGATCTGATGCTACACGTCGCTCTGGCAACAGGGCTCCAAACAGCCCCGTTGCCAGAGCAACGCGTAGCATCATGTCCTGGTGACGGCGGTGCAATTTGTCTCATCGTCCCCGCAGCAAGGATTCTGCAAAGACATGCAGATCCCCCGCCGCGATTTGGCGAGATTTGGCAGGCCTAGGAGGGAGAAAGCTACCAGCTAGATATCAGGATTTTTTTAAAAAAATGGTAAGTGCAGATCAGCCGTGGAATCAGCTGTCTAGGGAGGGGGTGAGCCCCCCTTCACTGGCAGTCTTCAAGTAGGGACTGAAACAAACTCTTGTCAGAGGCATTTTAGGCTGAAGGTAGGGGCTTGGACTGGGTGGCATGTATGGTCCCTTCCAGCTCTATGATTCCATGATTTTAACTCCCTATCCCCAGCCGTTTCCTTTAGAAGCCATTGTTTTCTCTGGCAGGAAGAACTCATTTGAAAATAAAGCTAGAATCCTCAAAATTGGCCACTTGGTTCAAAG